GGAGATAAAGTGGAGACCTTGTTCAGGGCCTCAAAGGTTTGGAAGCTGTCTTGAAACGGAAAAGTCAGAAAGGAAAGAGGAGGAGTGACCGGAGGTGTCAGGACTATTTTAGGGTCCCGGCCTGGGCCGACATGGAGAGGAGAATTTTAATTGCGTCTGTTGGCTGGAGATAAATACCCAATCAGGCAGACCCCCTGTGGATGCCTAATCAGCACAGTCCTAATGATGACAGCAGTCTACATGCTAACGTCTAATCAGTAGATTTATGATCTCTAGATTGGAACTTCCTGCACTGCCAAAAAAGAGCAATTTAGATTAAATTATCTCTTTGATGTAGTTCAATATTGGAAAGCTGATTCTTTTATGAATACGGAAGACACAATCTCACTCTCCTTAAGAATACACATCTAAGAATTAGAAAGCTTTTGACAGCAGAAAGTCTTAAGTAGACACATGGTAAATCATATTCATGGAACAATAAAAAAGATCAGACTGACTCTAATATGAGCTGCTATTTTTATGGGTAGTTGCCCGCAGTGTGCGGTGCTGGTTGTGTGGTTGTAGCAAACCTCTTTCTTTAAGGAGCAAAGCAAACTTGCAGCAGCAAAGGGCATCCAGCCTTGTCCCTGTTCCACCCACAATGCTGGCAACCAACATGTGGAGGGATACATTTTAAAGCCTCTGCTTGATGGTAATGACTGAACTCAGAGTACTTCCAAAGAAAGCGCATTTCATAATGGGTGGCCCCCTCTAGAAAGTTTTTAATGGAGATTTGATGCGTTTCAAAACACGTAAAAGTTGCTTGTTCAACACATCTGGCTCACACTAAATATGCCTCGAAAACCTCAGCAAGAAGAAATTCTCTACTTTCACAAATTTGTTTGTCCTTCAGCATGTGTGTTTATTCTAGGTCTCATCTAAAAAGAAAATAAATTAATTTACAAAGGATACGAGTTATTGCCCATCTATAGCTATTGTGTGAAGCATCTGGGAGGCGAAGCAAAATTTGTTCTCTTTAACTTTTAAGAATCATTTTCATAATAGTGTAGCTTATTATGAACCTCTCTTACTTCATAGCAAGAAAGCAGAAAATCAGACTCCTCTATGCTTTGAGTCGCTCTTATTTAAGAGTCAAGCTTCCAGCTGCCCATGTAAAAACAAATGTGTTGTTGTTCTCCTACAAGGAAACGATTGCAATACGTAAAAGATGGCATTGACTAGGAATAACTACTGAACATGTTTACAACAAAAAACACTTGTGATTGAGCTCAAGACTTAATCTTGACTCAGTAATTAAATGAAAATATGAAGTAATAGCTTGGAAAAATATTCACTGAAGATCCAATGCTATAAAACATGATTATGAAATTGTTTTTTGGTAAAGCAAACTTGAGGTAACTTCGTATTACATCGAAGAAAGGAGGGAAAAAGGGATTTTCCCCCTAATATACTATACATTAATATCCATTATTATTGGTATTATTACAAAGAATGATAATTGTCATTATAAAACAAATTCCATCATCCATCTATTGTCCATCAATACCCTTCCTCCTCTTCCTCTTCTTGGTTGTCAAAAATTGTTATTTCACAGGTGAACAAATGAGCTGAAAATCATGTTACACTGAGTCAATAAATTAAAGTTGTTGCTATGAAAATGACCTTTAGATTTCAAGATGTCAATATAAAGAGAATACTGCAATGGGATCTAATTAAATTCAGGTCAAGTATATTTTATGCACCAGACACATTTCATGTCAGTTGACACACGATGTGCTTGAAGTATGCATCGGAAATTAAAAAGTAAAAACAGCGTCACAAAGCAATACAATAACTGCATATCAATAAGCACAGAGATAACCAAAAACACAAGAGAAGAGTCAGTGAGAATAGTGTAAGATTGAAGATGATTGATGCGTTGGAATGGTGACTGTGTATGAATTCTGTGTCTGAATGCATCTGGAGTTGTAAACGGATAAAATGGGTCCATAATGTAACGCTGTGAGTGGTCAACAGGACCAGGAAAGCACTTTGTATAATTCAGTCCGTTTCAAATAAATTAGGCAGCTTAAACCACATTTTCACAAAGCACTTATTTTACAGCTCATTAAACCTAATGGAGAACTATTGATATAGGGTGTGTTAAGATGTGTCTTTTGAGGGGACAGTCTCCTTTTGTGCCAGAGATCTGGACTTTACATATAGATTTAGTTTGGTGAGGACTTTTTTTATGTTGCTGCTGCAGACTGCTTGGCTGCAAACTCATCACTCATCCAAGCTGCTATATTTTTATTTATTTATTTATTTTTTTTTTTTTTTCAGATTTTTGGAATGATGCAACACTGTTATAAAACTGACATAGCTGACCGAGACGCTGACCCAAGCTACAGGCTGCAAACTCGACGACTGAGTAGATAACTTTGTCAGCTTATATTTCAGGGAGCAGAAATATAAGCTTGCATCACATCTGACTTATGCTATTCTTTATGTAATTATGCGTAGGTTTATATGCGACTGTGGAATTCAGCTGATGAATTGGATTTTGTTGCAGACATTTTTTTTTTCAGCTTTTTGCATAATACTTAAAAGCAAATTGAGCGTGAATAATAAAACATTGTTTTTAAAAATGGCCTGGGCATAGACACGCATATTTGGAAATGTGAGCCTTTGAAATGCAAAATGACGGAGAACCTGGAAGTTTATGCATTTATTTATTCATCAGTCTGTGGGTAAAAAAATTTATAAATAAATGCTTTGTAAAATGGCGAGAAGAGTTCAACAACTGGAAAAATCAAATATCAAATTAATGCTCACAAGTGAAGCTCAAATTCAAACAATTTGTATACATGTTTTATAGCGATCTACATCCGCATATTTTTGCATCTCCTTACAGCCAAAGACAAAACTTAGGCCTTCAATGCCTTCTTTTCCACCCCAACCCCTCTAAATGTGCCACCCACACTACCACCACCACATCAGTCAGACTGGGACCCAGCTGTCTCTAGGGTAACCGTGGAAGGTTTACATCCTCCTGGCAACCGAGCAAAGGGGACGTCCCTCACAATACATCCAGCCAATCACCTCGTTAGAAGCAAACACGGCGATTAGACAACAGGTGAACCCTCTGTTCAGCTCCTCCAATCCAGATTGAACAGATTGAGGCAGCCAGATGTGATTTGGCCTGGCGTCCATATGCTAATGCCGTCAATATATTATGCTAATTGACCGTATGCCACTCATTTCCAAGCCAATTTGAGGAGAAACTGAAAATCATATTGTTTTGAGAGGTGGGGGAGAGAGGGCAAGTAAAAAGAGGACAAGAAGGAAAAGAAAACAAAAAAACAAAACAGCAACACTGTTTGTGCAAACTGACTGTCTTTCTGGGACACATCAGTTTTGAAAAGGGCTTTTATAGATGTGGAAATATTTACCCACTCATACCATTTCCTGGGAAAGGATTCAGTAGCCTATGATTTTGGTTCTTGGTGAGACTGTTAATAGGTCTGGCTGAAAATGCAGCACGGGCACTGTCTGAAGCTCTGCGCCATTGTTCAGCGGTTTCGGAAATGTGGTCGGTGTGTGCACACGCGGATTTTTATGGAGTGATTTGGCTCTGTTCTTCCATTTGCCTCTTGCCAATCAAAGTTTTTAGCCTTTCTGTACCTACTGTGCCTGAACGTATAGAACTGTTTGAGAAACAACAAGAGAACGAGCCGCTGTCACTGCTCTGTAGCTTGTGTCCCTTTTCATCATCCCAACTCTGCAGTGCCGTCTAATCACTGAGAGAGATGAGATTATTTTGGTTTTTAAGCAAGCCCCCCATTGATCTTTTATTACCCCATTAAGTCAACATGATGCTCTCATGAACAGCTTAAGATTAAATGTAACCTCTTTGGAGGATTTTTTATGTGCGTGTGTCTATGAACTCTGCCTGCTTGCAACCACTGAAAAACAGTCGACTGGCAGCCAATCCATTCTCTACAACATCTGGCTTATGTTACTGTATATGTAATTAAAGCTGCAGCATGTAACTTTTATAAACAATATGATTAAATGTTTTTTTTAACTGTCACCAGTCTAACATGAGACGGATAATCTGCAAAAATTGAGCTCCTGTTTGAGTTTCTTTTTCTAGCACGTTAATCCTGAATCGCACTAAACCAACGACTTGTTGGACTATTTTGATTGGCATCTTTTTTCTTTTCAACACATCCCCCAAAAAATCAAATTTTTATTTTTATTTTTTTATGGAACGCATTTATTCCTCCATTATCACAGAAGTAGTCTGTCGGCGTGCGAGTTGAACTGTTGCCAGCAGAGCTCAAAGTTACATGATAATAGTAGCTGTGGGATAATTATAGAGCTGCTGCAAGGTCAAACCTATAATTCCTGAGTACAAGGCAAAAATTCAAAAATCACTTACACAAAATGATTTTCTTTTCTTTTTTTTCTTAAACAGATACATCCAACCGTATCCACATCAGTGCCGCTTATGGGTGGTAAACCACATGTGTGGTGAAAATGATACCAGCAAACTCTAATCTGTGAATATGCCTCCAGGCTGTACAGTGAGTCACACCCACTTGGAAGTGGCTCTCAGTTTCAAAGGAAAGGAATTGAACTCGCATTGTTCTGCTCTGAATATACAGTGTAATATATGCATACAGGAGCAAAGCGTTCAACCTTTGTGTCCCCCGTGTTTTCCCTGTCTTGCTCAGCAGTATTTAATGCAATTTTGGTCCATGTTTACTGTTTTGACTCCTTTCATTGTTCTGAACCAAATTACTTTCCCACTGATTATATAATTATAATAACTTCCTTATCAGCCATGTGTAAAGACACACAATATGCACAGGACAGAGGACAACGAACAACCAGTGAAGTCCTAAAAATAGAATTGCTCAATTTCCATTTTTTTTCTTTTTTCTTTTCTGTTTTTGTCCTTTATTTGCTTTGCAGATTTATGTGTCTGACTTTCTGCCGATTCTTATCTCCCTCAGTGTGTAACTGTGACCTGGCACGATCCGGCTTCTTCCAGAAGAAGGGCGAGTACATTTGCACGGCAGACTACCAGCGTTTATACGGCACACGCTGTGACCGCTGCGGCAACTTCATCACAGGAGAGGTGGTGTCCGCTCTGGGACGCGCGTACCACCCCAAGTGCTTCGTCTGCAGTATCTGCAGGTATGCAGTGATTGTAAAGTACCAAATGTCTTGGCTCGTTAAGGCAAATGTTGTTTCTTAAATGCTGGAGCTATGCTTTGGAACATGGCTGTGGTTTTACTTAAATTTCTCTCTCAGGGTCTTTTTTATGTGTTGGGCTAGCATTCAGTGAAGTATTTAGGGTGGTAAAGACACATTCTGTTATGCTGCCTTGCCTCTCAAATAAATAATGTGTACTCATTCATAACTGGAGTTTCTTTGAAAAAACAGTAGAACTTTTTTATACCTTGCATAATTAATTTATTAAGATTACTGGGGTTTTACAAAAAAAGTGATGCACAGAATTAGCAAGCCACAAACACCATACGTACACCCAGCTGTAAATTATAATGATAACTTGGTCATGGCAAATTTGAAAGCAAAAAAAAAAAAAAAATCTTAGATACAAAACACGTTACTTACCATTTTAGAGACTTACTTTGTCACATTATTTAGCTCCATCCATCTTCCCATCAGATATGTCCAGCTTCTCCGCTAAATGAAAATCAGAGCCCCGGCATGATTCTGACACCACCTTGTTTCAAAATAGGGATGAGGTATTTAGGGTCAAGTGCACGGATATTTTCTACACTTCACAGAATATTTTGCAAATTTAATTGTTTTTCTTCCACAAAGACCAGCTTTGTGAATTGCACAAATTTGTGAAAGTGCTCCAATTTAATTTGGATTTTTTTTTTCGTTATATGAGCATGGAGAAAAAATGCACACCATAATTGTTTTGATTTTTTTTTTGTATATATATATTTTGTAAAATACCGTCTTTCTTCCAAACAGTTGTCTTTGTTGGTCTATTTATTAATTCTAACTTGTGGGAGTAGCTCTGTCCTCTTACTTCTGATTTTGTTCTTTTTGTAAACTTTTGCTATTTTTTTTTTGTTCAGATTGAGGCATTGCATGGTATTCCATTTGCCTTTGGATGCTGTGCAGCTGGAAGAAATTTTGCACTTACCTTTATACTTTTAGATACTTGGCAATAAGGTGTTGTTTTCACAGCTGGGAGCAGCTGATTAGCATTTAAAAAAGTTCAAATAATACCTGAACTCTGACCCTAAATCTCAAAGGAGGTGAGAAGGAGACCTCCTGGAGCAAGAGAGAGAGAGAAGATGGAAGTTCAAACCATCTTTTCATCAGTCGTAACTGACACTGATGTTTCTGCCCAGGTTTCTAGCCATACAGCAAGGCAGAGATTTAAAGAGAAGCTGCGAAAGCAAACAAAGTGGATTAGCAGTGCTTAGCAGGAACTCCTGGTGTCATCCAGAGCAAGTTGCTGTGAAGTATCATCTTTGCTGCCCAAGAATTTCGCTGTTGGCATGTCATAAAACCTCCATACAGCAGCAGTCTTCAATCCTTCCTGCCACCAGCGTCACCATCCACAATGACTTTGTGAAGATACTTGAATGACATTTCTTACAGAAATAACTTTCTCTTTGGCTTAAATAAAGCCAAAGAGAATTCAATTGAGTCACATAAAATTCAAATAAAATGCATAGAAATTTGTGGTCGTGACTTGAAAATATGTGAAAAAATTAAATCAGTATGAGTACTTTTTTTGTCCGTAGATTTTTTAAATTATTTGAGGAAAACATTTGTCATGTGCTCATCATTTTCTTGCTTTAGTGTTGGGAGTCTGACCTGGAGGAAATCATCAGCTCCCTGAGAGATCATAGAAGAACAGGGGATGTTTTGTTGAGGCATGAAAGAGTAAATTTTCTTCTCTTTTGCCACGAGTCAAGGGTTTGCATCCCGTCACCAACTAGTCCTTCCTTTTGGAAAACAGGCAGTAGAAGGAGGGTGCCTAATTTTAGAGGCTTTAATCATTAATGCACATTTCAAATACTAAATGCCTGGAAAGCTTGAAATGCTTTTTTAGCCATTATCATGATTCAGATTGAATCATTTGTTCCGTGCAGTTAGATAAACCAAAAATAGGATGCCTCTTTCCTCTCATAACAAACAGTCGTCATCAGGCTTGGGTACTCGTGTCATACCACATAGAAGTCTATTAAAAGCTCAGCTTGCATTTCAGATTTGTAGCTATCTTGTCTGTCTCCCCGCTCACATCAAACCACTCTAGTCTGTTTTGAAGCGTGATAGGTTTTGCATAAGGTGCTCTTCAGTTTCCTCCCTCCAGGCGACTGGTGCTTTCCTCTTGTCAGAGATCTGTTTGACATTGCCGCTCGAGCCCGCCAGCTGTGGTCAAAGGAGGAGGAGAGGAGAGGGGGACAACCGCCACAAAGCGACCAGCGACAGTCAGTGGAGCAGCTCTGGTGGTGACAGGGCGTGTTTATGTCACCAAAGAGAACAGCGAACTGGAAGAGACGACGTCGAAGCCGCCGGGTCGACTTTTTTTCCCCCCCGATGTTATTGTGCTCACCAAATCTACTCGCACCCTCCTTTGATTATCCCCAGTATTCTACAATGGCCCTGAGGTGCAAACCACTTAAGCAAACTGAAAGCACAATTGCAAATCACAAAAGCATTACAGCATGAACGAAAGTTCCAGCAACACTCCACTGCACCAAAACTTGCTTCTGTCCACCTTCACTATTGTGCTACTGCTACTTTTCAGTGCTAACGTTCTTAAAACGCGCCACTGATCAAAGCTACTGGAATCGTCTTATAATCCCTGAAATAACTTCCCTTTTTGTGGTTAAGGGGGGAAAAAAATGGGAGAAAAAAAAAAGTGCCATCCATTAAATATGTAATAAGAGTAAATTTTTAAAGTGCTGAGAAAGGCTGACGAGGCAGGAGTGTCTTGAGGGAGCAAAAGTAACGCAGGTAGAGACAAGGTCATGGATGGACTTTTCTGCACCACCGCAGCAGATTTAGTTCTTAAGCTGGAGTAGACACTGAGAAGTTTTCAATGAAATGCTCAGACATGAGCCATGTCTGGACTACAGTGATAGAGCAGATAAAAAATAAATAAATGAAAGCTCAAGAAAGAGGCTGTAGGGATCAAAATCAGATGGTTCTGGTTTTACTTCAGCTTGTCGGTTTATGTCTGGAAGAATTGGACGTAGTTTTCATAACATAGACACAAATGTGGAACAGAGTGATTAAATTGAACCTTTTGACCCACGCACAAAAAAAAACAAAAAAAAACGCATGTGTGGCAGAAAACACTGCGCGTCACCCTGAATTTGCAGATTGAGTAACAGTATCGGCAGTGTGGGGACGCTTTTCTCCAGCAAGGAGAAAAATCGGCAAAGAAATGTGTTGGATTTGTGACGTGAGACTGGGAGGTGTCAGGTTGCAGCAGGTGAAATGATGCTTAAATACAGCAAGGGCAACAATATAATGGATTAGGCCAAACGTTTTCAGGGCTTACACATTTCATCCGGCCAGACTGATCTTAAACTAAGTTTTAAAAAGACGATCATATTTTATTAAAAGTTTTGCAACTGCTAAAGTTTGTGTACGGTCGGTCTTTGTTGAATAATTTGTGTTCTGGAATTTCCCTGCTGGTTCCACTGCTCCCTTTGCTTGTTTGTTCCTTTTTGTTTTATGCATGAAAGTTTCCCATTTTAGAGTAGATGCAAAAAGAACAGAAGAGGGGAAAAAAAATGAAGGTGAACGTGAGGAAGTTCCAAAAAAGAAAAAAACTCAACTATTGTGTGCAATGGATGGCAGACTTTAGCCAGGCCTGCCTGTGAACATCTCCGCGAGCCCTGCAGGAGACTTAAGTCTCCCTTCGGGGCCTTGGCTGCGGCTCCAGGACTCGGCTGGGAAGTAAAACGATTACTGTCGTCTGTGTCTTTTAAACAGCCTTCCTTAAGCCTTTTAGCTCCCCCATTCATTCTTTCATCCCATCCAGTCATAAAGAAATCAAAGAAACGCGTCTCCTTGTGCGGGAGAAGAAAGGGAGTTCAAACATGCAATAGAAGAAGGATTTAATGGACCTTGTCTTGCTGTCATGTTGTTAGGCTCCCGTACACATGAGCGTGTCTTTACGCTGATTTATTATGGTATACAGCTTGGAGCCATAAAGCAAACAGAGACCTAGTGGTAACAGATGTGCGGGGAGTGAGTAAAGCGGGCTAATCCAGACAGCTACTGTAGACTGTGCGAGAAACGGGTGTTTGGGATTAGCATGCGCTCCACGCAGTCCTCCCTAATAAGTTTTGTTCCCGGCGAGAGAGCCAGCTTTCCTTGTTTCCTGAAGCCCGTGGCAGCGTCATGTTATCGCCTCTTTAATCACAGAGAAGCCAGGTGCTCTCGTCGCAATCAACCTCCTATTAACCCGCCGTCACAACTGTTTGCAAACGCATTTTCAGCTCCGCTAAAGACGCCAGGCTGTGTTCAACATGGTGTCAGCTGCTGCGTTATGGTTATGGTCTTCCCGCCAGCGGCCGGCAATTGTTTGTGATACCTCTAAGCACAGGCACATGCAGAGAGGGGGGGGGTCTTGATTCCCTTTTATCCTTGATGCCCTGGTGCCCTTTTTTAACGTTGAGCCCCTGCCCCTCCAAAGGTCTAAGTATATTGTCTGCTATTATTTAACCTCTAATCTTCACTTTGTTTTTTCATTCCACTCAGCAAACCCTTCCCAATCGGAGACAGGGTGACGTTCAGCGGAAAGGACTGCGTGTGCCAGCAGTGCTCCCACACACTTGTCAAGGCAAATGAACCCATCAAGATCCACGGACCGAGCCGTGAGTTGAGCATCCGCCTTGCTCTGTCTGTTCCGTTTAGGCCCACCAGGCGCTGCAGTCTGCTCCATCCAAACGCGCCGGGTTTGAAACCCCCTCCCTCTTTTATTCTTTTTTCTAATTCAGCTAATCGAGTTCCTGTCAAATCACTCATCGGGCCTCTCCTGTTGATCTGGCAGCTTGCAGTCATTCAACAAATGCAACATTTATTTTGTATTGCCGACACTCAGCGAGCGGAGAGGCTCAGATCTTCGCTGCAAGTGCTCTGCAGCACTTGGACTGTCTCTTTCCTGTCCCTTCACATTAGGAAAGGCTCGCAGTTTGCCTTGTTAGGCAAAAGGCAAGAGAGGGGATATTTAAGATCATGCAGTAGCGTGATAGCCACTGATGATGAATTGTTTAAATGTGGCAGGCGGACAGCACACTGTCTGTCACAGCTTGTGCAGTTCAAGCAGATGGTGAAGTAGGAATGGATTCAGCGTCTCTCAGATTGCTCCATTTAGACAAACAAAAGGCAAACAGCTCCCCAGGTACAGTGTTTATCATCACTCTGAGGGAACACTGTGAGTGAGAAGTGCAAACAATGAAAATGAACCACTGTTTCTTTATTTTTTAAATGGCTTGAATTTTATGAAAACAAAATTATTTAACTTTTGCACCAGTCGTTCAACTTTGACTAATAAAATGCAAAGCAGTTGTTTTAGGAAGCATTCCTTTGAAAAATTTCATTCCCATGAAAAATGTATACATGAAATACATTCTCCTTTCTCCAGTCAAGTCAGTGTTTACTTATAATACTGTACAGTCCAATTTAGACCATTGTTTAATGACAAGTTGCATAAAATTATCTATCGAAAGGATGAGCAGTAGAAAACGTCGCTCCATCACGATATGAAGAAATGGTTTGTCCTGTCAATTGGATGTTAAATGTTTGTTCATTCATCACCTCAAATAATTACACATGAAGAGAAAGAGCTTCACCAAGAAACAAAGGAAGCAAACAGAAGACATATACAAACAGATTTCTGTTGTTGCTTTTCAGCCTCAATCTAGCATGGAGTTGTTGACTTGATAGAAGTGAGAGTGGAGAGGAACAAATCCTGTTTTTGAAAGTCATGTGGAAGTATGTCTTCTATGGAAAGAAAAGAAAACGGTGTAAGAACATAAAGAACTTAAAGTAACCACTTTAAGAACATGGAGTCTCCCCTGCCAGATGAACAGGAGAGGCCCAGTGAGGGACTCGATAAACTAAAAAAAAAAAAAAAAACTGAGCATCAATAGCTAAGTTAATTTCTTTCAGGATAGAGATGCATCTTCTTTTCATTCCGAGGAACAGGTACATGAAGGTTCCTGTACAAGTTAAAAATACAGTTTATATTTACTGCATGGTGGTTTATGATACCCACATAGTGAGGGTCCTTCATTGTCCCTGGCCTGTTGGGGAACTTTGTTTTATATCCTCCTCCTTATTCACTCTGTATATTCTTTCCTGACCCGTCCTATAAATTGATCTTTTTTTTGTTGTTGTTTATTTTTATGGAGGTCTGCCTCCGCGTTAATTTAGCAACTGCAGTAAATCAGCAATAAATGCCAGGGCAGCCCTGTGCAGCATATGGGTATTCGTCCCAGCGTGATAATAGGAGAGTCCCCGTGATTGACAGATGAGGTGTTGCTGTGCTTATTGAAGGAATGCTTCAGCTGGTGGCCAGGATATGATTTGTTCCTGCTTTTCCCTGTGCAGTTCGTAAGTCATATGGTGAAACTGCTTTGTTTCCTGCATTGTACTTTAATCAGAAAGAAAGTGTGCATGTGCAAAAATGTCTGTAGAAATGAACCGTACAACTCTGTTTGTTGTTTTTCCTCTAACTTTATGTCTTTTAGAGCAGACAATGTTGCTCTCAACACAGGCAATGGTCAGGGCCAATCAGGCCAAAAATCATCAGCAATCATGAATTCAACCATCCATAATTGTTGCAGGATTTAATTTACTTGGTCATGCAGAATGTGTATAGTTCCTAAATGTAAAATGTGTCCGCACTTCCAGAATGACATCGAATTAGCTCTATACACCTCAGTGACAACACCTCGAAGGGTTTTGTGACTATCAAAGCCTGAGTGAGTAAAATTCAAAGTTTGGCTGATTGTAGGCTAAAAAGGCAGAGTCTTGGCGATACGGGTACTTCTCTTTGAGGCCGTAGGCTGGGTCAGAAAAGGTTAAGTCGAGCAAAGTGTCTTCCAAATGGAAACAAATGGGAAGCACTGACCTCATTTCATTATTTTAGCTGTGCAGCCATGCATCATTTGCAAGCGCTGAGCTGTCCTGTCTGCTTTCCTTACCCAGTCTGCAGTGGTCACACCTGCTGGGGGAAACGCCTCAGGGCAACTAAATGACTAGTATGCTTTAATGGTACAGAATGCTGAACTTAAAAACAAGACACAAAGTGTTGAAAGTGTTGTTTTCACAGCTAAAGCCCACTCTCCTCCTCGTTGGGTTTGCGTGCTTCTTCCTCGTTTTGTGTCCCCGTTCATCTGTCTTGTCTCGTCTTCCTCTTTTTCCAGACTGTGCTGGGTGTGGAGCAGAAATCAAACAGGGTCAGTCTCTCCTGGCACTGGAGAAACAGTGGCACGTCAGCTGCTTCAGATGTCGGACGTGCAGCATGGTTCTCACGGGGGAATACATCAGCAAGTGAGTGCGTGGAGACAGGGCGACGCGGCATTTTCAGCCGCTTCCTCCATATCCAGTTTCCCTCTCAGGGCCAGATCTAGATGGATTGTGCATTCCGGCCCAGAAAATGAAGAGGCGCCTTTTATGTTGTCTGTGTTGCAGGGATGGAGCGCCGTACTGTGAAGCGGATTACCACGCCCAGTACGGGGTGAAATGTGAAACGTGTAACAGATACATCAGCGGACAGGTTCTGGAGGTGAGATTGGAGCATGAACTGATGCAAAAAAGAGAAAGAGAGAAAGAAAGAATTTAAATCCAAACAGAGAGATTAAAGGTATTAACTTGGTGCAGTCAGCATTATCGGAGTTAAACAGCAGCGTTTCATTCTCAGCTTGGAGAAAACGCTGAGCTGTAGCGAGCGGGCGGTTTAAGATCAAGGGATGATACATAGCTTGAAATAAATCAAATTCATTTCATCTGTCAGTATTTTTACTCCAAACATTTTTTGGACGAGATAACAGCTCTACCTGTATAAACAAGAGGGAGTTAAAAAGTTGCAACAAATTCTGCAAGAAATGAAGAGGAAAATTGGAAGCTTTAAAAAGATTTGAGGGGTAAAAAGGGAGGGGAAAAGATGGCTGAAAAAGAGGCAGACATTGAGAGCAATTTCTGCTGTGATAAAAATTCCCATTTGTGCTTTTATGTCAAAGTAGTCAGCATTTGAAAGGAGGACTGCAGTGGAAAATTAGATCAGGGTGAACATGGGCTTTGGGAAAAAATAAGAAAATAAGATAAGGAATTGAACTATTACAACAGTGGAGGCAAAAATGATTAAAGTCATTTTGCATGGGTACTAATTAAAGGTTTAGGAGGATTCTCTAGAGGTTACTTTTTAACTTTCATGAAAATGTGTGGCTAGAAAGGATTGTCGGACAAAAGGAAAACATACAACACAAACACACTGCACCTTGTCGTCCCTGTGGTCCCTTGCTTGTCAGAACTGCTGGTGTGAAGTGCTTTGTTCCTGACTGCCAGCCTCTCTGGGCTATTTATAGACATGAGGACATGTCTGCTTTTATCTGCAAGTCTCTCTCTCTTTTTTTCCCCCCCTGCAATTCTCTGCAAAACTACAGACACGCCTTGACCTTTTTTTCATATTTTTTTTTTGGTCACTTTACACAAAATCTTTAATTGTGATTTTTATGTGAGTCAGACGTGTAAACGTCTGAGGTAGATGGAATATGACTTTCTAGCAAAACATTTCTGCAAATAAAATCTGGCAAGGCTGGTGTTTCCGTTTTTTTTTTTTATCGTGATACCTATCTCTTTTTGAGAAGTGCATGCAATCCTGTTTTGTTTCACAACTACAAATCTGTAAAGTTTGCCGTTCCCTCTTCTTGATGATCTTAAATAAGAGAACTCCACAAATTTGAATTAAATTCAGCATGAATGCTGCTGTCCGGTGCAGCTCAGGGCCTTGTCAGCATTCAAATACGAGCCCGGTAACTGTGGAGGAGCTGCAGGGAGATTGGGACAAACGGACAGCTGTTCATCATTCGCTCCACAAAAGGGGTCTTTAAATAAAAAGGGCAGAAAGAAGCAATTGGTGGAAGGAAGTCCCTTTTTGGCAGCTTGACACGATCCATCTGGGGCATCGGGAGCAAAGTATCCAGGGTCAGTTGAGAACAAAATTGAACTTTTGGGCTACATTCAAAATATTGCGCGCGAAGGAAAACTATCACTGCTGTTCACCCTGAGCACCTCATCCATATGGTGAAAAATCGTGCATCGTGCTGGTTTTCTTAAGAATTGACGTAGAAGCCGTCAGCGTTGGTCGGTTGTGTTTTTCCAGTAATAAATTTGTGAACAATGAAACCAGACTAACCGTACAAAAGACAATTGAGTCTAAAAGTTAAAGCTACATCATTAAGTCTACTAAATTTATCCTAATCTTCTCAAATTTTCCTGACCCCTGTCGTTAAGCATTTGTTTTCTTCCCTACTGCACGCCACAGACCCTGACTAATTGGTGTGTGTTAATGATTGCGCTTCATCCGCAAAATATTGACCTGATATTGAGTTCAACTTTTCAAACCCAGATGCCATGTGTTTAATGAGCAGTGCTTTTTTTTTAAGTGGAGACTTAGAGAGGGGGAGAGAGTAAGAAGCAGACAGGGGATCATTACACCGTTTCCTCTCAATAAATTCAGGAGGCTATAAAGGCCCCTACTGAGAATAGGTGCATCATTAGAAACCGGTTGAACTGACACACTTTCGCCAATGATGGTAAACATTCTGAAAACAGGACATGGAAGTAATACATGTGTTCTCCTACCCTTTCCTTTCATAGTAACCCGAGTGCCTAAAACAGCTTTAGCCCTGGTATTCTGAGACACAACTTGTAGACAATTGGGAATCCAGCTTTATGCTGTTCCTGTTCCTATTCCGGTTCCTGCAGATCACGTAAAGCTATCTCCTCTAATAGAATCACAAAGAAATGACACAAAAACTATACTCCCAGCACACACAGGTGCACAGTTGTATTTTCGTGTCTTGTGGGGACTTTACATTGACGTCCATTCATTTTCTGCAGCTGTACCCTAACCCAGTGGTTCCCAAAGATTTTCAGTGGCGCCCCTATGAATTACAATAAAATCCCCCCCAAAAAAGGAGAAAAAAAATCAACGGGTTCAACCAGACATAAACCTATGCACATATTTTGTTTTCAAACTCTACTGAAGTTTATTTCACACTTCAGGTTGCAACAAAACAAACCATCTTTACAGTGAAACACTTGTTTAGATTATCATTTTTTCATTCATCCATACCGCTTCCATTGCCTCAACCCCCTAGAAATAGGTCCACACAAGGATGTAAAAACCTGGTTCACACACTCGCCAACACACACACTAAGCCATATTCCTATAAATAGGATTCTGAAATGGTGTGTGAGAGAAGACTGAGGTGAGAGGACGTGGCCACACCTTAGTCATTGGCACTGCAGAAGCACATCGGGTCCATGAAGTCACCTTCGCCTCCTACGTGTGTGTCTATTGGTCGCCTTATCAAGGTGCTTCACATTATTGAGTTCTTAATCAAATTAGATGCTGTGTCCTGCAAAAACATTCATCACAAGCTTAAACCTTTTCACAGTTGAAAAGGTTTAACCAACATTTCAGTGCCTATTAGTATTTTTTTAAAATCACAGATCAACACAAAGTAGTTCATAAGTTCTTCACAAATATAAATCAAACTGTAGTGGTCCTATTTTATTCACCACCTTTTAAGGTAATATGCTTTGATAAAATCAAATGCATTCAACTGCAGGGAATGTTTGTTTCATGAATACTTCTTGTGCATGTGCCAAACTTTAGGCGCTACGTTGTATTGGTCTGTCACATAAAATCCCAACAGAATGCATTAAAAGAAACGACGCACTTTCTCAAGGTGTTTCGATGAAACATCATTTTATATCTGTCAGAACTTGGAGAGAATTGAATTTGCTCCTTGGGCGTGGCTGCAGCATGAAACAGCAAAAGGCTTTCCAGTAACGTCTCAACACAATGGGGTCGTTGGAGGTCAGGTGACACACTTTGGGAAAACATATATGGATACAAAGTCCTACACGAGAAAGTTCAACATCTTGTAGATTGACCCCTTAGTCTGTGAGGTATTTCAGTATGATAATTTATGCTCAGTCACTCTTCTTTCTCTCAGGCAGGAGGGAAGCATTACCATCCGACATGCGCTCGATGTGTCCGCTGCAACACGATGTTCAAAGAAGGGGAAGAGATGTACCTGACAGGTGAGTCTCCAACTGCATCAGCGCAAGACGCCGGCATGCTCACTCAGAAACAACCAGTGAAGATGAATGCTTTCCTCCTTGTCGTCAGGTTGTGAGGTGTGGCACCCGTTATGCAAGCAGGCTGCAAGGGCTGAGCGAAGGCTCAGGGTGAGCTGGGGATTTCACCGAAAAGCTTCGGATAGATAAAAATCTGACTTGACTTTGCGTCTTCATCTTTCTTCGTCTGGTGTTTTCCTCACAGCACAGACGCCTGTCGGAGACCTCCATCTCACCGCCAGGATCCTCCATAGGCTCTCCCAGCAGAGTTATATGCGTAAGTAACCAATGAATCTACAGCTTCCAGTCACTATTCCACATGGAAGCCATATTTAAGTTCACCTGGTACCTCAGAAACAGCATTGAGCCATGAAAGTTGGAATTTTGAGCACTGAAGCAAAAGGCCCCTTACTCCCTTGGCCTGTTCACCCGTCTGTGTCTTACCTCATCTGATTATGGTTTAAGTGTTTTGTGAAGCTGTTTGGTGCCACACTGGGGAAACACAACACTTTTGATCACTTTGCTTGTTTTCTAATCTGGCATCCAAGTCTTACACTTTGTCAAAGTTCTCGAAAGTCTTTAGCATCGTGAGCTAGTCTTTTGTTTTTCAGCTGTGCCAAGGGTTGATTGAAGATCAGGGAGTTGCTGAGGCAGTACAGTGTTTCAGTGTTGCATTTAGTCCAGAAAGTCATTTCATTGTGAGACGAAAGGGAATTTGAGTTGAGATTAACTCTGTTATGCAGTAAAGGAAAGTTTATCCCTTCTTGACAGAATTTCAGAGAATCCCAAAGCCTTGTAGAAGTTTTCATGCCCTTTAAATTTTTTCTTTATCTTTCACATTATAATAACAAAATTCAATATATTTTTATCTTTTTTCTGTCATCAACCAACATAAAGTCATGCATCATTTCCAGGTGAAATAAATCCCATTTAAAAGTTTGTACTCCTCCTCTGTACAAACTTGGTCGTTGTCCAACTGGAAAATGAACTTTTGGCAACCAGCTCAAATATTTTGCAGTCTCCACCAGTTCTTCTTCCAGAATTATTCTGTGCTTGGGATCACAAACACAAAGGTTTGGACTTTTGCAGAACCTCTGGTCATCTTCCTGATTCGTTGTAGAGAAAAGCCTCCCCACAATCTTGGAAGTTTTCACCATCATATTTAACAGTGGAGATGACATAAAAGTTGTCATCTATAATATTGTTTTTTTTAATCTGGAAGTTATGCTGAAGTCTCATGTGACAGGACCACAAACTTGCACAGCCTTACCACGTGATTCCTTTTTTTAAAGGTCTTTCTATGTAAAGAGTTTTTGTTTTGCCATTTCACAATTATGTGCTACTTTCTGTTGGTGTATCACATTAAACTCTAATACGACGAGCTGGAATTTCAGGTTGCAATATAAGCAAATGATTCAAATGGGTGTGAAAACTTTGGAAAGGCAATAAGCTTATAAATAAACGGTCGCTAGTGTGAAGTTAAGTGGGGTTAGCAAGTGAAAAACAGTTAGAACTTCCCCAGTCACTGAAGGTGTACATTTAGTCAACTATGTGACATAGTGTGAAAGCAATTTGCCATGTTTAATAAGAGCTGAGTCGATGTGCAGATGTGCAGAAAACAATAAATGTAACAGTTGTCGCTGTGCAGAGCTCAGAGTTGGATCAGGTCCATCGTTTTAACAGCCATCAGCCTGCTACTTGGCACTCTGCTGAGTGTTGCTCTATATGACAGCTACATTTGCATGTCAGCGCTCGTCTGCATGCTTGCAGGGCTCACTGCTCCCTGCCCTTCCTTACTCTGCTCCTCTCACATAATCAATGACCTTTCTGTTTAAGGTGATGGATGATGGAGAATCGCAGTGTAAGCAAGCGTGTCGTGCGTCCTGTCTCCCCTCCTCCCTCCTGCTTGTGACTGTCTGTGCTTCTCCTTCTCCTTATTTCCGACAAAAGCCCAGCTCCCTGTGGTCAACAGCTCGCAGCTCTGCCAAGCTCTGCTGTGTGCATGTGCTTGTTTATCTCCTTTTTTTTTTTTGGCTTGTGCATGCTTGATCAGCTTTCGTTGCTCCTCGCTGCCACTGGAGCTCGCATCGTAACGTGTGACCATTCGTTGTCCAGGTGGTTGACCGTCTTGTCTTGTTGCTGCTGTCTCTGTCTGTGGTCGGTGGGTGTGTGTCCTCTCTCCAGGCCAGAGTGGAGCATGAGATCTTTGGTTATAAGGACCTTGCTGCCCTGCCAAAGGTCAAGGCCATATACGAGGTCCAGCAGCCAGATCTCATATCCTCCTCATACCAGCCATACCACAGATACACCTCTGATGAAAGGCTAGACACTTTCACCTATGGGGAGGTACTGCTGCCACACACTTGTTGTCCAATGAACCATGGTGTTGTTCCCATCTATTTTCCTTTTCAAGATTTTTTAAAGATTTCAGCAAGTGGTTCAGATCAGTTCTCCAAAAGTGATGAAAACACAAGACTGAAACTTGTCTGGGAGGAAGTCAAGAAACAAATCAGGAGGGAGCTGTGCAAATTATTTCTACATGTCACAACAGTCTCTTGTATATGTTTGTCTGGATTAAGGGACAAACTATTGAGCAGAAGCATTTTCTTTCAATAAAAATCTCCTGGTTTGGCTAAAATATTCTAAAGGTTTTATAATTCTAATTCTAAATAATTGCCTTTAGGTCTGGCAAAATTACATCTCACTTTCAAAAGATGTGATTGACTTAAGCAGGATACCACACTGGGTGTAAAACAGGATATTACCATAATATGGATTTTGTAATTTGATTTCCACTTGAAATCATGAACCTTTCCATTAATCATGCAGATTTGACCCAAAAGTATCTGGTGTCATAAAATCTGACAAAAAACAAGTTAGGAAGAAGAAGGTTATGAGCAATCTCAAGTTTCAACAATCTAAAATATTACCAAGTAATACTCTTGCAACGTCCTTTTAGCCTTTAATACACAGCCTAGTGTTCATTTAATTTACTTTTGAGTCTGACATGTTACCGTCTGTCTCCATTGGTTCCGCAGTCCCTTGGAAATCTCTCTCCGTATTCTCAGGTAAGCATTTTTGATTTGAATCCAAGTGGAAGAGCGGGTTCCAATAAGTAAACTGTTGTCAGAGTTTCTGTGGTTTGTTTTTCTTTATTCTTACACCCCTATGAGCTGATACATAATGTTATTTATTTGTCGTCGTAGGATTATGACCATCCGGATGCAAAGCAGCTCCGATGCCCCATTCCAGGTTATATTGACTCCCCGACATACAGTCGTCAAGGCATGTCACCCATTATGCCTCACTCTCCGCAGCACTTTGGCTACCCTGGTAAGAAAAGTAGCGTGTAGCTCAAATTGTCTTTTTGTTTTTTTGCAGTACCAATTGAAAGTATTTTTTTTTAGGTCTTAACCACAGACTTAAATTAATTTTAATGGGAATTTATGTGACAGACCACCAGACATTATGACAGCAACACCGTTCTCTGGGGATGCTTTTCTACTGCAAAGGACAGGGAAGCTGGTCCAATGAAATAGGACGACGGAAAGAGCTAACCTCTGGATGCAAGTCGAAGAAAAGTTTTTAGAGTCGTCAAAAGACATCAGAGTTTTGCATTCCTGCATGAAAATAACTCCAAATGGTCCAAACAGTCAGAGGTGCTATGGAGTTGTTTAAATCGGCGCATATTCATGTATGGTCCAAAGTACCGACATAAATATAATTTCAAATTTGTAACAGGACTTACAGAGGCTCCTCATTCAGCCTGACTGAGTTTTGCAAAGGAAAATGGTCAAATTAGTCAGTCATGTTGGCCTGTCACATAAAGTCCCGGTAAGTTCAGTGATATTTGTGGTTGGAAATTGACGAAACAAAAACAGTTCAAGGGTATGAATGTTTTATAGGAACTGTGTAGCTGCTAATACTGTAGGATTACAGAAAATGCCCATATACTCCCTATTTTTATGATTTTACCATCAACATGCCTTTCAGTAGTTACATAAGCCCTAATAATGCTAATGGGGACAGTATAGCTTACCTCCTGATAACAGAATGTTGCTATACTTGTTTGGCTGCTTCATTTGCTGGATTTGCTCCTTTGCTGACATTTTATGTTACTCTTACACTTGTGTAGTGGCACCGTTGATCCTGCAATTGGGAAGCTATTCTGTAAACAAGCTCCTCAATAGTACTTTACATTACACAAGTGGAAAAGTTATTCTTGCTCATTTGCAAATTGTTAACAAATGTCTGAGCACATTTCATTCGCATGTGTCAACACCTTTTCCTCATGCTCATGTCTCCTTTACTCTGACTGGCTGTGGCTGGCTACAGGCTCTGAGAGTGGCAGGAGTTCACCCTATTATGGCCAAGAGGGGCGATCAAGCACACCCACCACAAACCAGCCCCCTAAACATTTTCATGTTCCAGGTAGGCCTTCACATCTGCCCCCCTGCAGCCTCCACCACTCTCAACTTTTCTTTTCCTTCCTTTTTAGTGGATACCATGAGTCGCGGTTTGCAAATGCCAAAGCGTTCTGACTATTGATGTTGTGCGGGTGGCAAAATATGGCCAAGTTGTTTTTTCTTTGCAACAAATTCTTCTGTTCGTTAATTTCCCTCCCTTCTGTCTCCCACCCCACAAACCCAGTAGAAATTCACAGCCTCTCCCTTCCACGTTTCACCTCTCCGTCTCCTGTTTCTCTCTTCAGCCACAGGGGATCCCAACATCTACAGGAAGCCACCCATCTATAAGAGAACGGGTACAGTTTAGTTCGGTCCCGCCTCGGTCTGTCCTCCCGTCCTGTCAGTTTAGTTGTGTCGTGGTCATGCTCTTCAGCTTCCCCCGATGCTTCTCCTCGGCATCGTTGTAGCTTGTAACCCCCGCTTTGCAGCAAGAATTCAGAAACGCACTAGCTGAGTTTGTTCTCAGAGCCGGGGGAAATGGATCTGTGATGTCATTTGCATTTTGTGGCAGCAGCTAAATGTGGAAGAGCTGTGTTTCATGTGCATGCCAGAAACATCATGATCCTACTTCTGCACACAGTCCATGACAAGTTCTCGACAGGAAAGTAAAGTGGAGAGGGATATGAATGAAGGAAGGCTTTTGCTCAGGCGTGACAACCAGTCAGTCCTCCGAGAACAGAACGGAGCCAAACAGAAAACCGTTCACTGTATTTCGCAGCCGACAGACATGTTGGCGATCCCAGGCGTGCGTTTGTGCCGTCGTTAATCCAACTGGCACACTGGTGTAGTTAACACAAGATGCTTTTTAGCCATTTTTCACAAATCATTAAACTCAAAACGCTATTCCGCCATCTGAATAGCATGCTTCAGTGCATAATGAAAAGATTCACTGTCCTCTCGTCACACTGCACTCCAAAAGGCTTTTTCAGCTGAGAGCCACAGGATCTGCAGACTGACGATGGTTTATCTCCACCCGTGTCCTGCATGTTCGTCTGTGCTGTGGGTGAGTGAGCGTGTCGACCCGTGAATAGACGTCGTCCACCCGACATGTTTCTCTGCTTGAAATATTGATTCATCACTGGTCAAAATGTTTTCATTGGAAATAAGAATTATTATTATTATTATTTTTTTTTTTACATTTTTAACCTTTTGCCTTGTGTCATAAACCCTGAGTGTCCTTTATGCCTGCTTAAGTGACGTTCATGATTTAATTCTTTAAATTCAGATCTTCATAGATTTAGACCTAAAAGCTGATTTATATATATATATATATATATATATATATATATATATATATATATATATATATATATATATATATATATATATATATATATATATATAAATAATTTTTTTTTTTTTTTGCACTAAGGCCAGTAATGAATGAATCACTTAGCCAGCTTGCATCACACGATGAAAAAAGTCAGCGTGGAAAGCCTTCCCGGCTTTGTGCTCACCCGAGCAAAGCTGTCACATTCTCACACCTCCCTCAGGGATGCTCCAATAATGTTTCCCTCTTCTTTTTTGCCTTCTTTTTTTATTGCATCCAATCACTTTTATTCACTTCCCTCCACCCTCTGCTCCACTTTGCGCGGTGACCTTGCCTCTGTAAGTATCCCAGCCTCCTCTCACTGTTTAACTAAAAGTCTCAGTGGATAGATGATTTGTATGTGCGTGTGCCTGCGTGTCCGTTGGCGTTCGGTTGAGCCGAAAGTACTGAGCGTGTCCTAAAGATGAGTACAGCATCAATTGTCACGCACACAGGTATTCGATGAGCTATAGATTGGAGGCTGGTGTGGCTAATGGCTGGCAGAATGAAGAGTGATCCATGTGGCTTTACAGTGCATGTGTTATCGCCCATTTACATCCATCGACTGCGCTCGAGTGCAGAGCGGCTCGGTGTCATGGCATTATGATGCTTGTAAAACGACCGTGTGCTTCGGGCTGAGCTGTAACTGAACCCACTTTAATCCGAATTGTTGTCCTGCCATTGGCTGAAAATATTGATCTCCGCTGACGGTGAAAACGCCGCATATGACAACGGGGAAAATGTAGTGTGAAATTACACGAGCTGTCTGCTTGTTTTTGGGGGGGATTTTTTCCAGTAAAGCCATCTGTTTGAAAGTGATTTATACTAAACTGCTGGAAAAAACTTTCCAGCCTGAGAACAAGTTGAATAAGGCAATAAGTTTTCTTTAATTCATTCATGATTAATATAAATATAAATATCAATATAAACACAGAACGCATGAGCAAACTCAGTCGTTAACTTGAGTGTCTCCATTTGGTATTGACACATTTTTTATTTGCAAAGCGCTCAGAGCCACACATATTAGTGTGTCTAAAAATTGCTATGGAATATAATAGTAATTTTTCTGTCTATATATATTTTTTAATATGTATTAAAAATATATATTGTGCTACGGCACAGGGAATGAGAGGAGTTTCAGAATGTTCAAGACAAGTCAGCAGAGAAAGCGGTGTTTGTTTAGTCCTTCATAAGCTTTTTGTCTTCGAAGTAGACAAACCCACTTTAATCCGAATTGTTGTCCTGCCATTGGCAGGACTGTAAATTTGTGAATTTACAGTCACAAATTCAGTAATTTGTGTTTGTTTCTCTCGAACACCGCACTGGTCTGGACAAGAAAAGCCTTTTCTGTATCGCCAACACAAAAGTAATGTGCAAAGTTTGACAAACACTATTAACATTTTAACTAAATTAAGATTTAGTCTTTCTGTTTCAAATTTCAAACTCTCCCTTTGCGTGTAGCACGAAACAAAGGACGAATATGGAAAAGGACGTCGTAACAATTGTTAACTGCATTAGAGCATCTCTGACCCTCTGGGCTTGTTTTGTACTGATTACATTTACTTATTCTCTAAATTGCAGTAAGACATTGTCGAACTGCAGTAAAAATCGATCAGCGTTTTAAAGTTCTTCAAAGTGCATGATTTAGAGGCTTGTCATCATAATCTGACAAGGTATTATTAAGGGTCACGCAGTTAAATGGTATGTAATGTTAGGTGACATGAATAACTTTTAACTGTGTGTGTTATTTTTTTTCTCTCTCTTTGTTCCAGACAATCATGTGGAATCAGCCACTAAAAGCAGAACAAGTGAGGATATCCTCCGATCCTCCAGCCTGTCCACCTACTCTCCAGAGCCGTACGCACAGTCGGAGTCGGACTATTACCCGTACACCAGCTCCCCAAGAGGTAACCAACTGTCAAGCTGCTTCTTATTCGTTTTTTTTTTTTTTTTTCAATATTTTCTTCACTCGCTTGCTTTGTTGCTGTTTTCTTTACTCTGATCTATATTCTCATATACGGGAAATCTCTTTTATGTCATGTCTCTCTCTTTCAGCCTACCGGGCGCCACGGCGGCGCTTCTCGACGGGAGGAGATGAAGAGAGTTGGAGTCAGGGTCTTCAAAGAGTGAGAGCTCCACTGTTTTCTCTCTCCCTTTCTTCAGAAAGTGATTAAAGTGACATTTCTCTGCAAAGGATCACGAAAAATAATAATAATAAATTTATGACGCCAAAAGTCACTTCTTGTACGTCAGGAGTTAAAAGTCTTCCTTGTCTTCTCATTTTCTCCTGCCCCCGTTTTTCCCTGCCTCCGCTCTCTTTCCTTTAAAGATTGGGAGTGGCATCGGACGGATGATCCTCAAGGAGGAGATGAAAGCGAGATCTGGTTCCTACGACAACGACCCCTGGGGCAGCGCGAGGAATTCTCGTTGCGGGAGCAAGGAAACGCTGAACACGACGGGCTACGGCACAGCGGCGTACAACAACACCATCAATGGCTGTGAGGACAACTTCTCCCCCTGCTCTCTGGCTCCACTTCCACTTTCTGACCTTAAAGTTCACGATCACTTGGAGCCCTGGGCGCTTCTGTTCCGCCTCGCCACCGGCCCGTGCGCAAAAACATTTGAACAGCATCGTTCTGTGAACTGCAAAGTAAATCTGTTGTCAGTGGGCTGTAGGTGGAGGGCAGCGAGGTTGTGACACAAGAGTAGCAAAGTAAGAACAGCTTGGTTGTCTGAGCACAGCGTATGTTAAAATGCATGTACTACTATAGTATTAAGAGGAAAACTCAAAAAAATCTTGACAGTATGATGCAGAAATAAATAAAAGCCTGCCCCTTTCAATTAGTTCAATAAAGCAATAGAAGGATATGACCATATATGGTGATCTTCCTTTTTTATTAAAGCATGGCAATATGCTAATTTGCGTGGCCACGCTAGGAAGATCATCAGTGCAGAAAATCAATCCATAAACACATTTATTTATTGATTGTCGCCCACCAGAACCAGCGCTTCTGCTGCAAACACCTTTTTGCTCTGCATTATGAAGCGACTGGAGTCTCGGATTGTCTGGAAGGTAACAACATAAACCTGAGGAACCTGGACACAACGGAGTCCATTCCTCTGGTTTTAGTGGCCTTTAACTTCCGGTCTGATCTCTGTGTTGTTTTTTAGCTTCAAATGTCTTAAAAGACATTTTGTGGGGGGAACAAACTGCAGACGATGTTGAGGAACTCAAGTCTGAAGTCTGTAGAGGAGCTGTGCCAAGTAAAATGTAGTCTGTTCAAGTGGAGTAAAGTGAGAAAGTCAGATTGAAATTCAACCTGCGATCTTTGCCGTCACTACTTTCATCTTTAAAAGTGGTTCATCCCCCTCACTGTGTTTTGCAGCAATGCTCGTGTCTAAAATTTGGATGTGCAACATAATCGCAACTTAGCAACATCATGGAAACTAATAGAAGAGTTTTCATCTTGTATCTCACAACAGAAAATACATTTGTAAAGATTGTGATATATACCCTTTAAGATATTTTCAAATGGGAGATCTGAAGCAATGTCTTTTAAATTTTAATCTAAGCTTTGGGGATCCTGCACACTCCTACTGATCTTTCTGATACCAGTTTGCCTTCTGTACGACTGAAATACTTTCTACCCTTTTTTACACCGTTTCACATAAGTAAGTTTGCTCTCCATGGACTACTTTTTTAAAAATCTCTATCTTTGTATTTATCACACTGTCTTATATTCACAGCTGCCAGCCCCATGCCCTGTTTTATTTATGGGCACTAAGATCTCTCATTAAAGCTGGGAGGGAAAAACCACTGAACAGACCATGGTGGAAAGAAGCAAAAATCCCTCCAAAATATTCAGCAATGTATCTATTTGTGTGTGTGCTGTTTCCATTACTCACTGGGCCTCGAGAGAGCCACATTTCATGGTCTTTCCTGAGCTAATCAGATACTGTCCCGTCTGTCTTGGAATAGCTAAACTAGAATATAATTGTGTGATCTCTTTGTCCCACAGCACCAAGATCTCAGTACAGCACTGATAGTGGTGAGTTTATCTTCATTGTGTCAGAATGTGTTCGGTCTCTGCCAGACATTACTGTGACATGCTTTAAAGTGCTAGCTTTCTCTGTATTGTTGTTGATACTTTGTTGCAGCTCATGTTGCTTCATAAATAATTTCTTCTGAATCGTCCAAGCCTCAGTTCACACATCTGGAATTTGATCTTTCTTTTTTTTTTCCTTGTTGGTGGTGATCACCATCTCCTGGCCAAATCCAGAATTTAATTTATCTACAGCGCTTTGGTTTATTAACTGTGTGTTTTTTGACTGTTCTTTAGATTTTGGTTGCAAGTCAGCATCACTACCCGGATATAGGCGCAATGGTCTTCAGCGGGTGAGATCAGATTGTACTACAAAGCTCATTTTAATCGTCTATTTTCACCTATTTTTACATTAATGAGGTGTTTTTCCTGGGAATTCCCAAAAGCAATTATTTTTGTTAATCGCAGTTTCCTTCCTTGCACCTGCAGCCTCAGAGCGCAGACTGCTACCAGTATCAGTACGACGACGGCAGCGAGGTCAACTGGGGAAGTAGAGGTAATTTTAATTGGACTTTGTAACACCAAGCCTTTGTCAGATTGAAGCAATTAACCCAAACCTTTAATCTCTTTAATCTGTTTCTCGTTCCTTGCAGCTGAGTATAAGGTAAGGAAACTCTTTTCATTTTCTTTCATAAACATAATGAAAAAGTTATTTAGGCCAGATCCCTGAAACGATTAGGAGAACTGTCCTTCTCTGCAGGTTTATCCATATGAATTACTCATTGTCACCACCAGAGGGCGGAATAAACTGCCTAAAGACGTGGACAGAGCGAGACTAGAAGTAAGTAATGCTGGGAAAATTGAGTCTTGCAAAAATTAAAGGTGTAGTCAAAGATTTTAAAGGGTGCAGTAAAATTAACAGATTAATGCTTTACTTATTTATTTATTTATTCGTATTTTATTTTTGTCATTTGTACTCTAAATTAGTAAAAGTACGGCCCTCTTGCAAGGCAATTTTGCCCAAGATTTTACTTTAGGGATATCAGATTGACTGAACACATATGCACACCACCTTTGCTTCCACTTCAAAATAGGCTCCATTTGGTGTTGGTCTAAAAAGCCATAAAAATCTGTTACTGCTGCACAACAAAATCTCAAAAAGTTCAAAGAGGTGTGATTACTTGTTGGATGCAGATAGCTATAAGTAGTAGCAGAGTAAGTACGCAGGAATACCAGGTGTAAAAAGGATAAAATAACACAGTTTTTGTGTCTTTGTCGTCTCAGCGCCACCTGTCCCCAGAAGAGTTCGTCCAGGTGTTCGGCATGACGGTGGAGGACTTTGACCGGTTGGCTCTGTGGAAACGGAACGAGCTGAAGAAGCAGGCTCGGCTGTTCTAGTCACTCTCGCTCGATGCGTGTTAAATGCTGCCACAAGTTGACCACGAGACGGAGACGCTCCGTCTCAGATCCACTGCCACGTCTGAAGAACCTGTTCAAGATCTCCTCACATGACAAACAAAAGCCAGGGTGGACTTTTGGTGACAGTGGTGGAGGTTCGCCGGACTGGAACATGTTTGCCAGTGCAGCCATTGCTGTGTGCTAGAGTGAAATGTAAGCAATAGAGACGTTCATGCTGTAGTGCTGTGTTTTTTGGGTTTTTTTTTTTCCAAGTTGAGACTGCTCCGTTACACAGGGTGACCAGAGCTGCAGGACCGAAACACGATGTGGAGAAATTTGGCTTTGCCTTATTTGTTATGCTCTTTTAGTTACGACTGTGCAGCACCAGCAATCCGAAGGAGTAGAATGTAGATACAGTATATCATTGCTGACACTTTATCTGAGTGAGTGAGTGAGTGAGTGAGTGAGTGAGTGAGTGAGTGAGTGAGTGAGTGAGTGAGTGAGTGAGTGAGTGAGTGAGTGAGTGAGTGAGTGAGTGAGTGAGTGAGTGAGTGAGTGAGTGAGTGAGCGAGTGCATAAGCCTTTGGTTCAGGGTGCATTTTGTTGACATATTACCAATTTTTGTTGTCTCACACAAAACAGAGCATCTTCAGTTGACAGAGAACATTTGCAGAGGGCCTAGCATTTTTTTTTTCCATTTCTTTTTGTGACCTGCTTTAATTGGCGTGAGAATGAAAATCTGCATCTTAGAAGATGCTGGCCGAATAATTAAAGGTCAGGAATAGAGCAGCTGTACGGGAACCGAAGGTTGTGGAGTTCAGTAGGGACAGTGCAAAACTCCATGTCCAGAAAAGTGTGCAGCTTTCACACTTCTAATAGAAATGGGAATCTTTTCACCGTTTCTTCAAACAATAATTTGAGACACAAGTAGAAAGGCAATGTTTCTTGACATCTTCATTTTTAAGGGCCACAATTAAGCTTTTTTTTTTCCTTTTTTTTTTTTGCAGATAAATATTAAGCGATGCAGTTATTTAAATAAAAGTGCAAAAGATGTATTTGATACGATGGAGAATGGAATAGTGTCATCGGCGTAAATGAATGTGGCACCTCATCAAAGCTTGTCCTCTCTTCTGAAATTTACACTAAATCTTTGACGTAAAACTGTTGGGCCAGGAGCCGCCAGCAGGGGGAGGACAATAGCTTGTTGGTGACGCCACTGTTCACATTTTCTCAATTTATAGATATTACAGATAGTTAACTTTTGCACTTGTGCCAAATTAATGTCTCAAACAAAACATACCGGCATATGTTGTTTTTTTTTTTGTTTTGTTTTGTTTTTATGTTTTATAAAATGTTTTCTGAAATTGAGGTTTGAGTTTACAAGACATAACAATGCTGTATTCCTCTCCTCTCCTCTTTGCAATAGAATGATGATGACAGTTTAGGTTGTGCATTGTTTCTAAACCTACATTCACAACTATTTATATTCTTTTGGAACGATAATCCAATAATTTTGTAGCTCCAGAAATTATATTTCCACACCAGGAAACACTCAAGGTATTTTCCCACACAAAGACCCAGGGTTGTTAAAGACTTCTTTTGAATACTGTTATTTTTATCATTATTATTATTATTATTATTATTATTATTATTATTATTATTATTATTATTATTATTATTATTATTATTTTGACACTGAAATTAAACTGCAACACAGAACGAGTCTCCTCTCTTTCATTATTTGCATTTTGTGACGCATGTATGATTCTTTGATTCTACAAAGTTGAAAATGAACTCAGTCATTTGGTCAGATCATCAAATTAACTGATATGCGCTGGACTAAAACATGCAGAACGGTGTTGATGTTCAGAACACAAAACACCTCAAGTTGCTGTGAATGTGATTTCTAACCATGCTCTAGCTCACGTAAAGTTTTTATTGGGATCTCGAAAATATAAGACTGCAAAGAATTTTATTTTTTTCAAAACAGAAAATTTTAAAGTGGAGGAAAAATCTGTTTTTATTTTGTAGTTTTACAACTTTTTTTAAAGTAAATGGTTCATAGTCGAGTAAGGGACTTGAAAAAAATAAAAAAATAAAAATGAAAAAAAAAACAATAAAAACTTTATTGTACACTTTTAAATAAGCAATTTATGAACAAACTTATTGTTTAAAGACAGATCAAATGACACAGCTCTTTGGACAGTGACCAGTTTCAATAAATTAATGATACTGAAATAATTATGACTTTTCAAAGTACCTACGCCACTACCGGTTGCCAGGTAGCAGACAAAAATGCAAAAATTGCTGCACTATGTTTTCAGGCACTTCGGTGGACTCCGTCACATTGAAAGAGCTGAAAAAGTCAGAGCAGGCTGTTTTGAAGAGAGTGTCACCAGGCGGGCTTTAGGACCCAGCGGGGAGGCTCGCTTGTATCTGTCAGTGGTTTGAGCTCTTCTTCCACACACACGCCCTCACACACTCAGCTATGGGCCCGTATTGATTTCTTGCAGTTCTCACCGGGAGAGCATCAGCTGGACAATGGACCCAAACGAGCCCTCATGTAAGGACCCTAGACTCTGATGCTGAACCCTTCTGTGGGATGTCTGTGTTTTCCTCCTCTTGCAACTTTTGACAGCTACTCAACCTGGAAGATTACCGCTTAATCCAAACCTTTCTGCTTATATTTTCAATTCTCATTGAAACTTATGTCTCTTCTCTGGCCTGTTGTGTTTACAGCCTGACTCTTATTGACTTTAATTTCTCTTCTTTTTTTTCTTTTTCTCAATGTCAGATTTTCAGATGTTTTCTTGGTGTTTGCTCTTTTAAGGGTGCAATGTCGTGCCAGAATGAAAAACAAAACAAAACAAGCTTTTGGTCTAAAGTTTCTTGCTCTAGAAAAAGAACATCTTGCACATCCAAGTCAAGTCATAAATCTGGAAGAGGAGATGCAACAAAGATTGGGTGGGCTTGCTCAGAATCATTAAATGTTGAACTCCACTAGCAGTGGATTCTTTTGCAGATTTCTAATGCTTTTGTGTTGAAATAGCTGGAAGTGTTAAACGGGTTTCAGCACTGAGGGTTGTTTTCTTTCTTTCTTTTTTAAGAGGAACATATTGCACATAGGAAAAAACAAATCTACTTCCTCCCTGTCTGAGGACTAGATGATGCATTGATAAGGCAAGGTGCAACCTGATGTTGTCTTCATTGAATTTGTTTTTCCATGGGTTTTGTTAATGTTTGTTTTGGCCCCCCAGCTGATCTTTCTTAATACTTGCAACGCTGCAAAGGGTCTCGCAGAAAGCCGGCATGTGGGGGTGATTATAATCCATGTAATGAAGTTTTTTTTGGTTTTTTTTCCCTCAACTAACTGCACCTAAGAGGAAGTGGGACAAACGGCATATGTGCTCATTGAGCTTATTTTCAGGACTTTTGTGGAGAAAGAAAAACTTGTAGGGATATTTATCATTTCTCTTGTCATATTTAGCTTTGTTGTATCCTCCCTGAAATCACCAGTTCACAAGGATTTCAGTGATGTTATTGCTGCTAATGTGTTTGGTGTGTATCTAAGGAAGGAAGTCTTCAGGTCTTCACCAGGGTGTGTGCGATCCCCATCTGTCATTCCTATCCGTCTTGACACACACACACGCATACACACACGCACAAGAATGCAACTTAGCCGAGTCGTGTGGTTCAGGAAACACCACAAGACCATACGCACTGTGGTCCCGGGAGATCAGCCGACTGTTTATGTTGTCTTTAAGTCGCCTGATTGGCCTCTAGTGATGATGAGTAGATTACTTTTACTTGATTTGCTCTAAACAGCAGAAGCGGTGCGTTTTCAAATTACCCAAAGTGTCGCTTTGAAATTGCTTCCTTTGTGTGAGTGTTGCTGTAACAAACAATATATATTCTTATATATATTCTTATATAGCAGCTCGTCAGAGTGAGAAGCTTTAAATCTTGTACCAACAAAACACTTTCTGAGATTTTGCACTTTGGATGGATTCGGCTAATACTTAAAAAAAAAAAAGTCTACATGACCAATAACAAAACATGGAGCTGCATCTTTATTAACGAGATTAATGGGAAGAGAAACTTTTTTCTTTTTGGGCTGATTTTGACAGAGCAGGGAAATAGTATTGATCAGAACCAGGCAAATGAGCAGCAGATCCTCACAGATTTATCTGAAATGAAACGACTGTCTCCCGTCACAGATAATATCAACCTTTGGAGGACATCAGTGCTGCTAATCTTCCGTCTAAAACATTCTTCTGAAGTGCGCGTGGGTTAGATCTCTTGCGTGTCTTTTTTTGACAGTCATACTAACGTCTCTGAACTTAACCTGAGCACAGAAAGGTTGAAAGGACCAAACCTTTTCCTTGAGTACGTTTGTTTTCTTGAGCAACCTTAGTTTTGCTGCAGTCAAAGCTTATTCACCATGTTTTCTCCTATTCATCCTAATATAAATACGGAAGTGTTGACAATACGCATCTTGCTTACTATGCCTGGCAAAGTGAGTGAAGGCTACTGTTATGATCCAGGTTCCCATCACATTCGCTGTATCTACACATACTTCATAACGTCCACCGTCCACCATAAGATGAGATCTTAGCATGTCTTAACCACTCACTACTAATTCAAGAAGCTGATCTAGACGTGATGTTTGGGAATCTTTCTGAATGTCAGGGGAATGGCATCTTTAACAGTCACACAATCGTGTAAAAATACGTAACTCAAGGTTCTGCAACTCCAGTTCTCCAGGGACGGCTTTTGTGCATCTTTTTCTTAGATGTGTGAATCGACACGCCTGAGTCAAATTCTGAGGTGTGTTGAAGCAGTGGTACATCTAGAAGTTGCCAGAGACCAGTCGTCAAGGACGGACGTTTTTGACCCCTGGTGGTGGAAGTTGTCTTAAATGTGGGCTTTTCCCTCAGTTGCCCTGATTAAGTGATATTTTGTGCTTTGCACCACTTCCTTGTCCTTTGTTAAATCTGACCTGATTATCAGAAACCTTTTTTTTTTTTTTTTACTTCTCAGACCTGCTGTACAGCTTTTTTTCCTGTGAAGGCCAATAATGATGACAGGAAGCCCCGGAAAGGCATCGTGAGGAGCATGTGACTTCAGTGCAGTTTGACGTAAAAAGTCTATTGTCTATGATTGACATGATGACAATAGATGATAAAAGTCTTTCATAATTCAACAGAATTTGGGAATTATGGTTTGGAAACATTTTTGAGAAATAAAAATAATTATCACTTGTCCAAAAATATGACACAAATCAAATCTGAAATGGATATTTCTACATTGAGCTGGAAATAGAAAACAGAATCTACAACAACTGTACTTAAAGCTTCTTTTCAATTCAGTATGAAAACTGCAACGCATTGACTAATCATAGACAAACATGACTTCAGATTGCTGAAAATCAATCAGGGAAACAGTTAGTCTATTAATGGAAACAGAGATAATTGCCATTGTTTGTTTCCCCAGACACAGTTTGTCTTATCTTACCAGCTGTATGTATTTTTTAACGCCTTCTTTGCAGATGTGCATCAAGCTCTAGAACGCCTCCTTTTTGGTTCTCTTCTCTAAAATATCATGAATAAAGCCAAAGCAGTGGAATTCTTTTTTTTTTTTTTGTCTGCAGAATAGACTTGATTTTGCTTCTTGTCTCCTGGTTCACTCTAAATTTTTATGTATTTATTTTTTTTTACCAGAGTTTGAAGTGGGTGTAACAGGGGAGAGGCCGTCTCCTCAGAGATGCATATCGGTAATGGGATTGTCTGTGATTCGGTCCAGCTGATGTGGTCAACCGTAGCTATTGTCACGTTGCACGTTTCAGAGAACGTGACGTGAAGAAACTTTCATACTACGAATTTGCCGTTTTAGGTAAAAAAAAAACCAAACAAAAATAAAACACGTATTGTCACTCCAAGCACAAGTCTGCTGCATACGTATGAAATCCCCATTCACGCCTTACTGATCACACGGTGGAGAGTGTGGCTCAAATACATGAACAGGGAACATGTGAGCTTGCAATCGAGTTCTAGATATTTTTTGTCTAACTTATAGCTGATTCTTTATCTCGACAGACAAAAGACAAAGGAGCTGGTTGCAGCTAACCACTGACTCCAGTTAGCAGGGCAATAGAGCACGATTTAAATGCAGTCGTCTGTCGTCATCCCGCCAGAGGCGCGTGACCTCACAGTGTTGTCACTTATTATATTTATATATCCATATACTTGTTTAATTAGTTGCATGCATTATTCTGTATTCCCGCTCTTTGAAAGCTAATATTTAGTCAAAGATTGTTACTTTTTCTCCAAAATAAAAGAAAAAGTGCACATCAGCATGTAAACACAGTGGGGTTTGCTCTCAGTGCTCAGTGCCCTGCCTTACAGCTTGTGGGCCAAAGAGCTTTCACAATAACCAAATAACATCCCTGGGTATATTTTTGTTTCAGCCTTTTGCTCTGGTTGTTCTGTTTCCAGTGTTTTGCTAACACCGCTGGGCCCGAGTCTGCCAAAGGCAGCTGAATGAAATAAATGATTACATATGAGTAATGACTCTTCTGACTTCATTAAGGCAACCTCCAGCACTCTCGCATGATACGTCCCCCTCCGTATTTCAGCTTGACTGACTTTGACATTGTCTACAGGAATCCAGTCTGTATAAAAAATTGAATTTTCCTCCCATGTTACTCATAAAGTCCCACGTTAC